TTGAATAAGGACTGGGAGTGGATGGGTCATTACACAAAGTAAAAACTATATCCCCATGCTAATTTTCCCTCTCCTGTTACTCACACCTTCTTGTCAACTGTTTGAAATGGGCCACCCTGATTATTACTACAAAAGTTTTTTTTTTCTCCTGCTGATAATAGCCCACCTTGATTGATTAGTCTCATTAGAGTTGGTATGGCAACACCCATTTTTTCATGTTCTCTGTATGTGTGTGTGTATATATATATCTTCCTACTGTATTTTCCACTGCATGCAGCTTATGGCCAAATAAATTTGTTAGTCTAAGGTGCCACAAGTACTCCTTGTTCTTTTTGCTGATACAGACTAACACGGCTACCACTCTGAAACCAGTTTTGTGAGTAACCCTTTACAGTCTGCTTTGGACTTAACTACCTTCAGTAATTTTGTATTGTCTGAAACCCCTGCCACTTCACTGTTTACTCCTCTTTTCCAGACAGTTTATGAATATGTTGAACAGCACTGGCCCAGTACAGATCTTTGGGAGACCCCTGGTATTTACTTCTCTCCATTCTGCAAACTGAACACTTATTCCTATGCTTTGTTTCCTGTCTTTTAACCAGTTACTGATCCATGAAAGAACCTTCCCTCTTAACCAAGTAATTAGTCATAGGATAAGAGTCTTTGGTGAAGGTCCTTGGCCTTTCAGAAAGCCTTTGACAAGTACACTAAGAAGAACAAGAATACTGTGATGGGGTGTACCTACCCCACAATGGTTCAGAAGGGGTTAACTACACTCTGTCAGCCAAGAAAGCCACATCCCCTCGCCCCTGCTGGGCATGCTCCAGCTCCAACAAGAGCAGATGTGTTTTGCAGGCTCCTACAGGGAGACTGCCGGAGCTCCAGGACCCAGAAGTCAGCTGGGCTGAGGCTTCAACAGACCACCCCAGCCGACCGCCAACAACAACGGAGGAGAGACAGTGGAGGTCACGAGACTACCAGCCTTGGAAAGAAGGGTAGGAAGTGACCCAGGGAGCGGGACTGAGGTACTGGGTGACTGAGACTGGTTGTGGAAGCACCAGTTCCCTAGGGCTGGAGCAGGGGCAAACCATGCAGCAGGACTGCCGTACTGACTTTAGTCACTTGGTCGCGCCGCCTTGCACCAAAGGGAGACAGCACAGATTCCAGCTACTGGACTACCCTGCCTTGGGGGGCCCGGGAAGCTGTGGTAACACAGGAGGCAGGCCACAGGATGCTAAATCTCCACTTTGATACCCCCACAACCTGACGCCCTGTGAACCTACCCTGCGACAAATACCTTAAAAGAACTAGTTTGAATTTATTTGGGAAAAGACAGGGAACTAGTGTAGGGATGGAGAACATGGACAACGAAACACAATTTTGTCTGTAGCATATCCGATAGATTGGAGACTAGTAGCTAGAGGCTGGAAATGAAGAAATCACAGTAGTCCAAGTGAGAAAGAATCACTGCATGAATCAGAAATTTGGCACCTGGGGATGGGTACAAATGCAGCAGAGTATAGAAATGTCATAGAAAACAGAAGAGCAGATAAGGACAAGATCTGATGAGAGCCTGGATTTGAGGAAATTATGGGTTCATAGACAAATAAGATCACAAGAATGAGTGCTGGAAAGGATAGTCCAGGGAGAGTTTAGCAAAGATATGTCAGTGTGATATGAAGAGACACAGTCATGGACAGACAAGAAAGTGTCAGGGGTAGAAAGGTAGAATTGTGGATTATCAACAAAGATGGGGGGGGGGGGGGAAGAGATCAAAGAAGCAGATGTAGATACCCAGGAGTGCAGAGACACCAAAGGGATGGGGGACCAAAGCCCCTCGGGAGCACCAACAGAAAGTAGCAGTCAACAAGCTCACAGATGAGCAAGGAAAGAACACTCAAAGTCTCAAGTAGGAGAAGAACTCGAGGAGAATTGGATGGTTGATGGTGTGAGAGGCAGAAGGAAATGCTAACTAGAATTAACATGGAATAAGGATCCTTAGCAACTACAAGGACAACTTCAGTGATGGTGGAAGATTGACTGGATTGGGAGGAAAGTCAGTCAAGGCAGAGGGGCAATTTTGCACACTGGGCAGTGAAGGGGAAGAGAGACCTGGCACTGGGTGTCCCCAATGAGTGAGGCAGCAGGAAAAGCCAATTGCACCCACAGACCCTGAGAATAGCAGCAGCTCTCCCTGGGTAAAGGAGACCCAAGCACAGCAGAAAGCCACTTTTAAAGCACAGTATGGGGGAGCAACTCCCAGGGCTGGCCTTTGCAGGTCCATACTGACCACTTAATTTTAATTAATGGAGATATCCTATCTCCTAGAATTGGAAGGGACCTTGAAAGGTCATCGAGTCCAGCCCCCTGCCTTCACTAGCAGGACCAAGTACTGATTTTGCCCCAGATCCCTAAGTAGCCCCCTTAAGGATTGAACTCACAACCCTGGGTTTAGCAGGCCAATGCTCAAACCACTGAGCTATCCCTCCACCCCACTGATTTCACCTATTAAATTAGAGAGCCTCAAAATGTGAAAGTAAAAGCAGTTTATGTTTTTAAAGAAGTGGTTAGCCCTTATCCCTTAAAATAACATCTTCAAAGAATGAACCAATTCAGCTCCATCAGTAGGGAGTAAAGTTTGTCTCCCCTCCCATCCTGAAGATCTAATTCCACCTCCAGCCTCATCCATCAACAGCCTTTATCAATTCACACTTCCAGTTCCGGGTGAGGCACTACACTCCAGACAGAAAAGCGCTCACATCAGTGGGAGCTTTGTGGCCTGAGCGCCCAAGGCACTACTTGTTTAGGTGAGTGAACTTTCACCCCCTTGTAACATTACACCACTGGAGTCAAATTTACTGCACCACTGTGAAGAAAAACAGTAAGAGTCCGGCCCAACACTATATGGACCCTAGGTCCAAGCACTTCCTTCTGGCTGGGCATAGAGGCTACATCTACACAAGAAGTGCTATATCAGCACAGCTGCATAGCCGTAGGCCAGGGTTCTCAAACTTCATTGCACTGTGACCACAGGAGGAGGGGCCCAATTTTCTGACAACAAAAATTACTACATGACCCCTGAAGCCTGAGCCCACCCAAATCCCACCACCCTAGGTGTCGGGGCCAAAGCCAAAACCTGACCTCACCGCCCCGGCCGGGGGGCTCAAAGCTGAAGCCCAAAGGCTTCAGCCCCAGGCAGGGGGCCTGTAACCTGAGCCACGCCACCCAGGGCTGAAGCCCTCAAGCCTCGGCAAGTCTAAGCCAGCCCTGGCGACCCCATTAAAACTGGGTCCCAACCCACAGTTTGAGAACCACTGACTTAAGGCATGTCTACACTTACCAGGGATAGACGCTGCTGAAATCAATGCAGCAGGGGTCAATTTAACGGGTCTAGTGAAGACCCACTATATCAACCGCAGAGCGCTCTCCGGTGGACTCCAGTACTCCACCCAAACAAGAGGAGTAAGATAAGTCGACGGGAGACACAGCACAGTGTAGACACTGCAGTAAGCAGGGCTTTGGAGCTGTGCTCCGGCTCCACTCCGGCTCCAGGCAAAAACCTGCAGCTCCACTGTTCCGGAGCTGCTCCGCGCTCCAGCTCCGGGCTCCGCTCCAAAGCCCTGGCAGTAAGTCAACCTAAGCTACATTGACCTAAGCTACATAGTGTAACTTAGGTTGACTTACCCCAGTAGTGTAGACAAGGCCTTAACTCCAGCCCCCATAAGTGGCAGGAGTTAGGTTGGAGAGAGAAACTCTCCTGCCAACATGGCACTGTCTACACCAGCGCTTAGGTTGGTATAACTTACATTGCTCAGAGGGAGAACTTATTCACACCCCCGAGCAACTTCAATTATACTGAAATAATTTCAAGTGAAAACATCCACTGCAGCAGCAGTCAAAAAAGCAAACAGAATGTTGGGAATCATTAAGAAAGGGATAGATAATAAGACAGAAAATATCATATTGCCTCTATATAAATCCATAGTATCCTCACATCTTGAAAACTGCGTGCAGTTCTGGTCACCCCATCTCATAAAAGATATATTGGAGCTGGAAAACTTACAGAGAAGAGCAACTAAAATGATTAGGGGTATGGAATAGCTTCCATATGAGGAGAAATTAAAAAGACTGGGACTTTTCAGCTTGAAAAAGAGACAGCTAAGGGGGGATATGGTAGAGGTCTGTAAAATCATGACTGGTGTGGAGAAAGCAAATAAGGAAGCGTTATTTACTCTCTCATAACACAAGAACGAGGGGCCACGAAATGAAATTAATTGGCAGCAGGTTTAAAACAAAAAAAAGGAAGTATTTTTTTCACACAACACACAGTCAACTTGTGGAACTCCTTGCCAGAGGATGTTGTGAAGGCCAAGACTATAACAAGGTTTTAAAAAAACCTAGATAAATTCATGGAGGACAGGTGCATCAATGGCTATTAGCGAGGATAGGTAAGGATGGTGTCCCTAGCCTCTGTTTACCAGAAGCTAGGAATAGGCAACACGGCATGGATCACTTGAGGATTACCTGTTCTGTTCATTCCCTTCTAGGTCATCTGGCACTGGCCACTGTCGGAAGACAGGATACTGGGCTAGATGGACCTTTGGTCTGACCTAGTATGGCCGTTCTTATGTTCAAATGTAGATAAAGTCTGAGCAGCTTCTCACAGCCCTTCACAAACCCCTCCTGAAACACACCCACATGGAGACATGACCTGGCTGCCTTTCATCGAGTTGGGGTCACGGCTCTGATCAGAATAGGGAAGGGTTAGTGACGGGGCAGATCAGCCACCCTCCATCCTCAGCTCTGCGCAACAGGTGTGTGTGTGTGTGTGTGTGTGTGTGTGTGCGCGCGGGGAGGGTGAGACGAGACCAGTCGCCCCCTAGCACCTCTGCGCACCCAGCGCTCCAGGGGGTGGGGGCAGGGACAACCCCAAGCGGCTCCCCTCAGCTAGGGACTGTGGCGCGCGGCGGGGAAGGCTCAGCCCCGCTCCGCTCACTCACCGCGTACCCGCCTCAGACGCTCTCCCGAACCGAACCACGACACCTCCTGGCGCTGCCGCTGGCGCCTTCGCTTCCGGGTTCAATCTCCAGGCAGTCCCCACCTGACCCTCACACCTGACATAGACACCACAACCGCCCTCCGTTTCCTACGCAGTAAGAAGCGCCGTTTGCCCATGTCACCAGGGCGTCGGTAATTCATTTTGTCCCGTTCGATTGGCGGCCTGAGAGGAAGCCCCGCCCCCCCGCCTCCCCTGTTGCCAGGGTGACTGCCGGGCTCGGAGAGCGGAAGTGCTGGTTTCCCGCCGCTCCAGGGAATCTGTGGCCTGTCGCGGAGTGCGCGGCGGGAGCCTCGGGACTGCTCCACATGGGGGACGTGCACGAGGGGCCGCGGCCCCGCATCGCCACCAGCCACCTAGCGCAGCACCTCGGGAAGCCCGTTTGCTTCGTGGGCCGACTGGAGAAGGTAGCGGGACCCCCCGGCGCTGCCAAGGCCCTACCCCCGGCGCTAGCCGCTCCCTGCCCGGTTCCTCTGATTCCTCAGGCCGGAGGGTTCGGAGCCCGCTGCCTCCCTGCGTGTCCCCGGGGTCCAGGCTCTGAGGGGCTATCGGCCGCTGCTGGACTCTGCTCGAGGGCAGCATGAGGCTCCGGGCTGCGCGGCTCCCCTCGATCGCAGGTTCGGCGACGCGGGGCGGGAGGGGGCGGCTATGGGTCCCCTCACAGCCCTTGCTGGGGATCCGCTCCCCGGAGCCAGGCAGCACCGGGCCAGGCTCTACCCACGTCCTGGCCCGAGGTGTCGCAGACCCAGCGCCCAGTGTAGCTCCGTGCCGCATCTCCAGCCCCGGCGTCCCTGCATGGCAGCACCAGCCCCGCGGGGTCCGCTCTGCACCGGGTACCCGCCCGCTACCTGTGGCTCCTCTCCCGGCTGCCTGCGCTGCTTACGATAGGGGGGGCACCAGCAAATTCGGATCTAGTGGGTCTTTAAAAATGAATTGCAGGTAGTTCAAATTATATCTGCCTAATGCTACGATATTTACGCAGCCCCGTGCTGTTGCATCTGTCAAGTATATCCAAATAGAAATAACAATGCCAGTATGTCTCTGTTCTCCCCGCTCTCTCTGAAAGAATGAGTCTCTCCCTGTGGCTTGTTTGCTTTCAGTGTTATGGTCGAACATGCTAAGCTTGATCTTGACATAATTTTTTACCTGGAGAACTATGGTGGTATGGTGGGTGTTTTTACCAACATAGTTTTGCCAGTCAGCGCCCTAGCATAGACACATTTAAACCAACGTAAAGTATTTTATACTAGTATAGCTTGGTTTGCTTCACCAAACTGCAATAAGGTGGAAGTACTATCATACTGTTATAAATGCGTCTACGCTGCGGGTGGGAGTTGCCACTTTAACTATGCCATAATAATTAAAGTACGAAAACTTTTAAATGTAGACAAGGTTTTATTGAAGGAGGCTGTGGTTGTGGAGGGAGAAACAATCCCTTAGGTAAAGAGGGTTAAACTCCTGAAGGGCTTTGAATATACAGACTGGACTTTTAACTGGAGATAGAGAGCTAGTTTTGAGCCTGGAGCCAGGTGATGTATTCCTAGCCTTTGGGACCTGTGCTGCTAGGCAGATAGGCTACTGCATTTTTGTACCAGTCAGATTAGCATTTGGCTTTATTCGTAGGCATAATTTGCAGTAATCAAGACTGGAAGTCATGAATGCTGGTCTCAAAAAGACAAGGCACAATCTTCTGGCCAGTCACAGTTGGTGTTTTGCTGCTTTAGCTATTTGGGTATCTAAGTGCATGGAGCTGTTCAAAGGACCCCATGCTGTGGACCAACTTAATAATCAAGGACCTTTGATAATGGGAGTATTTATTGAAGCGATAGGAAGAAAGAAGTACTTCAGAACCAACCAGCATCAATTCGGTTTAGCCAGCTGCTCTTCATCAAAAGACTGACTTTGTCTAAGTATTGAGAGAGCTGGAAGGAGTTGCTGTTTTTAAGTTTGATGTAAATGAGATGTCAACTTGAGCACAGTCTGCATACTGTTGGCACTTCAGCCTGCATTGTCTCCTTAGCTCTTCCAAAGGCTTCATATAAAATCAAACAGTGTGGAAGAGAAATTGCTATTGGCAATTCTTCGGATTTACTCTGAAAGGAAAGACTTGAGCCGTTTCAGGGAATTTTGGTCTATCCCCAACCTCTGCAATTTTTTGGAGTCAGGCAGAAGTATCTGGTTGATCAACCACATCAAGTAGCCCAAAGATGTCTAACATGATGAGTATGAATGTACTTCCTTTGAATATGGACACAAGAAGTCATCCACCAGCACAAGTGCTGTCTGTTGTGTGCCCTGCTTTGAAGCCCGACAGGTTCAGGATGCTGACAGGTAGTGTTTGAAACTGTTTTTTTTTCCCCCTAGCTTCTAAATTAGCTTGTTTAGAAAAGGGATGTTGGATGCTGGAGGACAGTTCATGACTGAAGGTTTCTTTAGTATAAGTCAAATTTTGCATGTTTGAGGATAGGTGATACATTTGCTTCATCAAAGGAAGTTTTAAAATCTGTAAGTGTGATCTTAGATACTGAGTGGATTTGATTTAAATCACTAGTCAGGAAGACAGGTTTCAGAGTGTTAGTCTGTATCAGCAAAAACAACTCCTTGGGTTTTTTTTAGTCAGGAAGACTTGATTTAATAATGGATTTCTACATAAAAGTGCATTCTTGTTGGTTGTTATAACCTTAATACATATTCTTCACAACTCAGAGATAGATGTAGGTTTAATTTTTAGAAGGTACACACTATACATTACAGGGCTTTGGAGCGGAGCATGGAGCAGCTCCGGAGCAGTGGAGCTGCAGGTTTTTGCCTGGAGCTGGAGCAGAGCCGGAGCACAGCTCCAAAGCCCTGATTTTTAAAGTGATTTATTTTGAAAACTTTTCAGATTAGTTTTACAGCTATATCAGAAAATGAATGATTGTTTGGTTATTCCATTTACCAAAGGTAATTGAAGCAGATGTTTATGAAGTCATTGGGAGGTGAACTATCTTCAATTCAACAGGTTAATCATTAATATTTGGAGGATTTTCTTGCCATGCTGTATTAGGAGGAGAACATCACTAGACAGACATTTACATTGTTTTATTTAACTAAAACAACAATGTTATGTATTCTGGATTTTTTTCTTCAACAGCAAACATATAATATTTTAACAAAACAAGCATATGAATTTTTGAATTTAGTTAAACATTCAAGTTTAAAATCAGGTTTGTTTTTGTTAAAATTGTTTTTAACTAAAATAGTTAAATGAAATTTTCAAAAACAAAACAAAATTTAAATCGACTATGACAGCCAAGTCAATGTGAGAAACTTAAAATATTGGCTTCTACAGTTAGCTCAGTCATCTTCACCTTCATTTTCCTGTTCGTTCATAATCTGGAAAAGAAAAACAAGCTTTCTTGCTTTTTCAGGTCCCAAACTATTTCTCAATTTGGAATGAATTAGTCCAAAGGAAGAAAATATTCTTTCTACACCAGCAGAAGAAGCTACTGCTGTTAAAAGTGAGATTATCACTTCAGCAGTCTCTGAATCCAAGTGCTTATGTGACTTCCACCAGTTCACTGGTGTGACTTTCTTTAAAACATCATCAGCAATCATATATTTCTTGAATGGTTCACTCTTAGCTCTGAAGTTTATTATAGTTCGCATTATGGAGGGATGATTTCTGGATGTCCATGTCCATGTCATAGCCAACTCCTCTTCTTCAGCAGTTAAGGTTTGACCCTGGTACCGAGTATTGAGAATATTTGCAAGAAAATAAGCTGGAGATAGTGCTTGCCCATTTGTTTTTTTAATGCTTGTAATTTAACTCTGTCATTGCATATTTCTCTTTTTAAGATCTCAATCAGTTCCTTCCAAATTTCAACAGCTTCAGCAATACAACAGCTATCTCTCTGCATTTTGTTCAAGGTTACAGAAATAGGCTTCAGGGTACTCAGCGTGTGTTCAACATTTCTCTTAAGCCCAGTGTTGAGAACTTCGGCTGTGACAGTGCCATCTAGTTTTTCACGATTTTGTTCACAAACTGTCCTCAGATTAGGCCAGTTCGTGATAAAGTGCTCAAAACAGTCCACTACTGAGTTCCATCACATGTCTTGAGGGAGAGTTAGCTTGGTTCCTCCCACTTTTTTTTTCAGTTTGTTATAGCTTTTACTGCTACTTCTTGTAAGTATTCTGCTGGGTGTGCATTTCCTGATGTATCAATTGTTTCTGTAAGGAAGACATTCCCTTCTTCTGTTGTCACACAAGCACATACAACAAGATCATTGTGGACATTGCTCCACCCATCAGGACTCAGGTTCACAATTTCACCCTTTAGACCTTTTGCACACTGCTCAATTTCTCTTTCATACACTTTATTCAGCAGTTTGCCTGCAACAGCTGCTCTGTTGGGTGGACTGTATCCTATTAATAACTGAACCATGTTAATTAAGTGTGGGTTCTCAATCATATGGAAAGGAGAGTTTGTTGCATAAACAAACTGGGCAATTTTTTCTTTTTGCTACAGGTGATATACTGTGGCTGTGTCACATACATGATGCGACTGAAACACCATCATCGGCAGATAACTCTGAAACTATAGAAAATTATGATCTTGAAGGTGGATAGTCTTCAGAATCCTGTATGTTGAGGATGGACTCTCCTAAACAAAATAAGTCAATGCAGTTATTTAATTATTATTACCGTACTGCTCATTTAGTATTGCTCATTGCATTCACTGACATTCAGTACTACTTTAAAGGTGAAATTGTAAAAGGAAGATCTGCCTATTTCCAGCTATTTATTTTTTATCACAACTGCATCTAAAATGATAGTACCATAGAGTAACAACTATATTTTTTGCTCAACCATAAGAATTCAAGAATAGTCCAGAAGGAAGACAAGCAATCCTTAAGAAAGAAGTATGAAATAAAAAAGTTTACCAACCTTTCATCATCTTCAATGCTGCTTCCTCCTGAAAAGGAACACTTCTCATGCTGTTTCATTCGGGCAACCAGGCCTTCCATTTCTTTGTTGCGCTGTTTGCATTTTGCACCCATGCCTGTCTTACCCACAGGTAGAGGAACTTCATAAAATATTCCCAAACTGGGTCTCTTTGACGACCTGTTGGCAATATAGATTTTCCC